CTCTTGTGATTTTGATATTATTTTTCATGAAACATATAATAGTTGGATAAACATTTCGATAAAGTGGATGTTGGTTCACCTTTCTTTTGTTTGACTTTTTTATTTTTTTATTTCATTTAGATTTTACTTTTGAAAGCATCTTGTTGTTGTTTAAGAAACAAGGTTATTTTCCTGAATCAGGTGTGTGCCCCACATAAGAATCGATACAAATGTGTGCCGAATCTATAATGTATTCAAGCATAAAAGATATAGGAATGACTCCAAAAGGTGATAAAATGAGAAAAAGTATCAACATTTTAAAAAATCAACCTGGCATTGGAATCGTTCTGGCCATTGGTTTTTTAGGTTGACGGTTTGACCATCCAATTTGAATGGATGGCCTGTTCTAACAAAAAATATTAAACATAAAAAATAATTAAAATAAAAATAACGGCAAAAATTGATTGAATAGGTTGGTGGTTCAATCGCTTGGTTCAATGGATTATTAATCAATTCAATGGTTTTTGGCTGGGACCAAGTTTGGGGTAAAATGAAACTAATTGTTTGGATAATTTATGTCCAAACAGTCTACTGTCCGAGTCAACGATATATTATGATGGTTTAGTTATATACATAGAATACCAATTACATCACTTACAAAATGAATTGATTTGTTGAAACTTAAAGTTGAAGCGGCGAGTAAGAATCCATATTTCCTCCTTACAAAATGGTTCTCGCACCCACCTCACAACACTTGTAACTATTAATTTTAAAAATATCCCATGGATGAAAACATACAAATAGAGAAGATGTTCTTGATGTATGACTGCAATGTACTATGAGGTGGGTGTAGGGAAAATCCGAACTCAGCCTGAAGACTTGGGGGTAGAAAGAAAGGAGATGGAGTAAGAAATAATTACACATTCATATTTTAACAATGTATATGACATTAAATGACGATGATGGTGATAAAATAAAGAAATGACTCCAGTTTTTCATGTCTTTCCTCATTCATGTGGATACCCATCTCAATGTCCTATTTATCACCACTTGATTCATGTGTTTGAGTGATTGTTTCCACTGTGTTGTCACTTGCTTATGTCTTGAGATATCTTCAAGTTTCCACTGTGTTGTTACTGARTTCATACATGCTCTTAGGCAAGGTTCAAAGTATTGATGTGTATCGATTTGCATTGGATGATATATATCGTGTTAGAAGTTTTTTAATACGTTCTTACAGGAATTGTATCAGGTCAGACCATGATTTAAAAGGTAGATAGGACTTCAATCAATCTATCTGAATTAGTTTAAAAAAATAAGTAAAACATAAAAAAAGGCACCGATAATGTACTGATCTGTATCAATATTTAGAATCTTGCTCTTAGGAAAACAGAAGGGCGGAGAAGCGTGGCACCATTTGCAGCACCACTACCACATACTTGTTCAGCTCTCCAACTTGTAGCACTTAATTAAAGGTAAATGCCCACTTGATATAAAGCAAGTAGCTTTCCAGTTTGTTCCTATTAAGCTCACTCAAAAGAAATTAAAAGCCGGTCACGGGTCAGTTGACAGTAACCTCTGCTTTTCACTGGTCTCCCAAAAGCTCGCTAGTACTGTTTGTTATGTTGCATTTAAGCTTATGTGTCTTTTCAACACACTCGTGCACAGAAGATATTGTGGACGGTAGAGGTGGCGCCCAATATTTGTCCTGAGCCTCTTGGGCTCTTTTCCTAGGTATCAAGGCTTTAGAAAGCAGAAACCCTAGTTATAATTTATTGTCCATCCAATTCAGKGACTACTCTGGACATTTTGGATAGTTCAATTTAATGTCTGRACTGTCTAATTTATTCAAATTGGTTTTAATATAGATTGGTGGCCAAATCCAATCCAATCCATCCGATTTGAACGGGTCCAATCCAAAATTCGTTAACTTAGGTTAGCTTAAAAGTGAATGAGACTGTGATGGGTGCTCAGATAATCAGTCACTCCGAGACTCTTTGTCAAAGTGTGGCTGTGCCTTGCTGTGGGGGAACCAGTAGGGTCTTCAACATAATTTGAATGGTCCCTCTTTTGCTTCCCACGCCCTGGACAGACTAAGACGCTTTTACTAGGTTCCTAGGAAATCTTCTCTTTTGGCTTTCTTTCCCTTTCTTTCTCTTTGTTTGATTTTGATTCAATTACAGTACGTACAACATTATTAAAATATCTCTGTGGTCTGATTTAAATGTGGAAATTAACATAGGAGAATTAAGAAGGGTTTTGCAAAAAAAAAAAGAAGAGCTCTTTAATTCATAAGAATGCCCTAAACCCCAAGAAAAATCTATCTACTGTAGTTGGTTGATCTCTGGAGTCTGGTCTCTGGTCTCCACCAAGATTTAAATGTGAAAATTAACATAGGGAGAATTAAGAAGGGTTTTTCAAAAAAAAAATAAAAGATGGCTCTTTAATTTATAAGAATGCCCTAAATCCCAAGAAAAATCTGTCTACTGTGGTTGATCTCTGGACTCTGGTCTCCACCCAGAGTCCCAGACTCAGGTGCTCTATTGATTGAAAGAGCCTTTCTTGTCCAGTTGTCCGACTCCTGCCCAGACATGGTTTCAGATCCTTTTTTCCAGCATTCTAACAACTGCAGCAGAGCCGCTTGCACATTCAAAGACATTGATTTGAGATCTCTCCGGTGTTTCATTCTCTAGACAGTCCCTCCTCAGTTCTCATTGGGTTGATCATTCAAATCTGACCTTTTAGAAGGGCTAATGCGATGCGTGTGTGGTGTTATGCAGAAAAAGCGTTCTAAGAAATCGAAGTAATAGTCTATTGAAATCAAAGTATTTTTTGTTATAAAAATGATGAACAAATGGATCACCATGATCATCATCATGGAGTGGGTTTCAGCCTTTACCCCATTATTCATGGAGTAAATTTCGACTTAAAACACCTTTGCATGTGTTAGAAAAGTCCTTTCTTGAAAACCTTTAAATTAAAAAATAAAATAAAATAAAAGTTCAGATGGCTACTATAAACTGACCAAAACTCCAATACTAATCAGATCAACCAAAAGAAAAAAAAAAAAAAAAAAGTGGGGGTGGTGAAGTGACGCCACGTGACAAGGAAAACTCTGAATTATTTGACTTTCTAGCTAGCTTTTCTTTTGATAATTATCTTTTAAAAATAAGAAGCAATGGGGCACGGCTCTGTATTGTTATTTACTTCATATCTTATTATTAAGCCTAGGTAATAGATCTTTGATTATCATTGTTTTTTCTTAAATTTGATTGTGTTCTCATGAGTATATTATACATGCATTGGATAAGAAATCCCTTCTCTCTCTCTCTCTAAAATGCAGGGAAACTGTTATTTCGCATCTAATAGTGGACTGGATTGCTTTCAGTCCGATTACTTTCATGTAGGCGTGTTTCAAGTTTCAACTGGACTGGATTTGGTCCAATCCAATCTGGTTCAATATGAGTTCATTAAAAATGGACTAGGTCCATTCCGTTCTGATGAATATTTTGGATCATTTTGGATTGGTTCAATTTAATGTTTGGACAATTCAATCTGTTCAAATTGGTTTTAATTTAGATTGGTTCCAATTCAAACCTTGTCCATTGATATATGTAATTTTATCTTCCACATATGGATTAGATATTGGTTCAATCCAACCCAATCCAATATAAATCCATTATGGATGGGCCAGGTCGAAACCAATCTAATAAATACTTTGGATCATTAAATCTGGACTGGTTCAATTCAATGTGTTTTATTGGTCCACCCATTCCGTCCAAATTGATTTTGATTAATGTATCTTATTGGTCCACCCATTCTGTCCAAATTGATTTTGATTTGGACGGATCCAACCCAAAACGGGTCCATTGACACCCCTTACCTTCATGTATGACATCTTACCAACTAGCTGGTGCATTCACTCCTTCATTGCTGCAAAGAGTACTGATAGAGTAAATAGTAACATTAGCTTTGTAGACTGGCTCTCTGAATCTATTGATTTTACAAATACAAATTATTTTATAAGTAATTATTTCTGTGGATCCAGTTTTGCTTCTTTGTGCTTTGCAATTATTTTGTGGTTAATTGGAAAACAAGAAAATGATGTTTGTTGGTGATTCTAACGTGGATTTGAGGACTGTTTTGTGCTCAATTCGTAGGACAATTCAAAATCAAGCTTTAGCTTTAGAGCAAAATTGGAGTGATTCGCAACGAAGGGCTTCATGAAATCTGAGTCCAAGGCTTCCCAAAGTGCTAAAAAATAGGCCTTTGGGCCCAAAATGGTTAAAGGTTAACTCCGATGTTAGTTTAGGAGCGGTTCTTCTTCTTATCACATTTTCTTTCACTCAACGAGGACCAAGGCTCTTCTCTATTAATGTAAGGAGCCTGGATCTACAAGCAAAAAAAAATCCCACTAATTGACTGCAGACCAGCTGCATATTGATAATTTGAAGTCTTCTAACATTTGGTAATGAAATTACCAGGGATTTATCACTGACTAGTAGACCTGTACATGGGCCAGACTTCGGACTTGGTCCATGAACATTTTAACTGCTTTGGGCTTGGGTTTCAGGTCGGGCCATTCAAAAGAAATTAAAACCCAAAACAAATTTAAACCAGAATTTGCATTCTTTTCATTTGCACTCACATGCATTTGTACTAGTGCAAATAAAATTGCACTGCAAGCAAACACAGCCTAAAGAGTGGATATGTCATTGTGAGCCAACAAAATATGCTAAGACCAAGGGGGTGTTCTTTTTTTGGATTTTGAGAGGGGGAAAGTTCCCATTGACCAATAATCACTTGTTCTTTTTTCAAATTTATGTGGGGATCAAAAAAAGCTTATTTTCCTTGGTATCACTTACCTGGATAAACAACTTTCCTACCTAGGGATAAAGTAGTCAACACTTGAATGGGACAAAAATTCTCCTTTTAATAATGAATTTTTATGGCTCAAATGGTTATTTACCCTATTTACTTGGGAAATAAAAGAACATGGGTAAATGCACTTACCCGATAAGTGTTTCCCAGGAAAAACTTGCCCAGGTAAGTAACTTACTGAAAAGCAAATGGGGTCTAAGAGAGAGTCCATGYAAAATGAGCAGTACAAACATCTCAGGTTCTATGACAAAAAGAGCATGGCGGAAACAACACATTTTCAGGCTTCTCAGCTATATCTCACAATACACGCCCATCTCTTTATTCCATATAATTTCAATTTGCAAGAACCCTATGAAGAAACCTTTGGAGAACCGCAAATTCTACCCCAAGATATGGAATAGTGCCAGATTAACCTTGCAGGCCAATAATACCTGCAGAAAAGGGAATAAAAAAAGAAAACAGATACAAATAAATCGAATATATCAAATGCAAGGAATAGCTAAATCTCAATAAATGGCTCATTTTCTTGATGACGCAGTAGTTCAGTTGGTCAGTCGGCATCCCTCTGAGGAGGCATGATTTCAAACCCATGGAAGGGCAGGCTCTCCATGTATAAGCATGTAACAACCTGCCTAATGGGGGTAAATGCCACATCAAATGTGCCAAAATAAAAGGTTTCCTGAGACCGGGGCCATATAGTAACAGTAACAGTAACAATCAGATCTCTTACCACAGGCTACTCTGCCACCAGCATTCCCAGTGCTTTTGCTGAGTTCATGTCCTCCTGAAAAAAGGTACAGGCAAATAATTAACTCAAAAGCCTCCGATAAAAAGAGAAAAAAGTTACTAAACCAGAAATGCTGAAAACAAGGGGCATTCGATTACAGTTTCAAGATTTTCACAAGTCATAATCACTCAAAAAATGCTGAAAACAAGGTTTACCAATCTTATTACTCAAATTTTGAAACCATGATAGAGCAGGATGGCGGGACAAGATTCATGTAGCTGACCACAAAAACGTAGGATCAAGGCTGAGTTTAGTTGAGTAAGCTTTGAAATCAAGCCGTTTTAGATGCCTTGAATATTCCTTGTTCTTGAGCAACAATTTTAAACTTTCAGAAACAAGGGCTCAATCTCAGTCTTTGTTGATATAATGTGGCGGACCTGACAAAGAATATGACAAATCCAAGCTAATAAAAAATGCTTTGAATTTTTTCATTTTGAGAAAAAAGACTCAACATATACACTTTATGGGGCTCAAATTCCTACAAATTAAAAAAAAAGAAAAGAAAAAAGAAAGAAAAACTCCAGGAAAAAACAGCAACATTGGTAAATACCTCCTAAATAATAAATGGATATTAGGATATTGCAATGCCATATTGTTGAAACCTCCACCATTGACTGGATGAATGGATCACTTATAGCACTAATCACCATAAACAAACAAAGATACTCATTTCCAAACAATCTATCCTGTGATATATGATAACTAGTTTAATTGGGTTGATCAGAAACCTCAAGACATAAGCAACATTCTCCAACAAACTAAAAGCTACTCATATGAGATCCGGAGTAATAACTCCAAATGAGAATGAAGAACCCATCTAAGAAGGACCCTTGTTTATAATAACCAAAATCCAGATTATAAAGAAAACGCATTCCAGCCAACTGAGAGACATACTTGAGTAAACAGTAAAAAGAATCTCTAAACAGTCCATAAAACCATTTATCACTTTCATCTGATCACTAAAAACAGTTCTCTTTAGCCATACATTTTGCTCATCTCATATCATCCAGCCGCTTTGATTCTTGTTATGTATTTATTGGACCAGATCAGAATAAGAACTGGATGTTCCATTTCAAGAACCATAGTCTCATAAAATCTCCAACCCCCTTTTAGAGATTACTGTGTAATTATTAGCCACCGTGCAAGTGTAATGCTATTCAAATTGGAATTACAGATCTAATCAGGTAGTGTCTTAACTTGTTTTTCTTTTCTTCACAGTCAACATTGGCCAGCTTGAACTCTCCAATTTAAGCATACTTTTCTAAATACTAATGGATTAAGATATGCCAAAAACTACAGACGTGTTGTTTGACTCTTATCTTCACCTAATTTAGGATTAAACTTGATATAAAGAAGAAAAAAAACTACAACAAAAGAAAATTGAAGATTACCTTTTCCAAGATCATCAGGATCAGCATGCACAACAACAGCCCTTCCAACAATTGAATTGGGTCCAGAAAGAGGAATCTGAAAATTATATGAACATTAAGATGGGATTTACAAACAAATTCAGGAAAAAGAAGGAATATAAGGCAAAAGAAAGCACCTGTTTGTCAACTATGGTGAAGTTAACAGTACCTGAAAAATAAGAAAGATGCAACAAGCAGTTAGTGGGAAATAAAATTCCTTCATCAATTTAATTGGACTTAGAATGAATCAATTTTGATTGTATAGCTACATGGTTGTGTCTATCAAAAGAACAAAAAAAAAGCTACATAGTTATGTTATTCCAATATCCCCAAGTACATGACAATATTATAGTGCAGTTTGGATGGGCTTTTCTTTTTTATATTCTTTTTTTTTGGATAAGTTTTGGATTGGCTTTTTATGCTCTTAAAATATGAATGCTGATATGTTTTTCAAACAACTGCTAATAGTAATAAAAAAGACAATATGATGATAGTGATAACAGTGATTTATTGAAGTAAACTGAAGAACACTCACCATCCTCACCAACAGTAACATTCCCAAGGTCACCAGCATGACGGTTTTCATCCTCGGGAGCACCATGCTCTTTACCATGAGGGTTAAAATGTGGTCCTGCAAATTTAACAACCAAGAACCATTCAGTAGAAATTCAAATTATGAACTGATAGAAAAATATGGGTGTCCTACAAGGGCATAATACCTGTTGACATGCAACCATTTGTTGTGTCACCAAGAGCATGGACATGGAATCCATGAAGCCCAGGTTTAAGACCAGAAACACTTCCAGTTACTTTAGTTGAGCCTGAAATACAACCACAAAAGAAAATGAGCTTGATAGTACAGTACGGTGATAATGGATCTTACTTTATGCAAATGTATATAATGTTTAAATTAGATTACCATCTTCTTCCTCAGTAAAGTATATGGTGCCATTGACACCTGCATTGCTGCCAAGAACAGCAACGGCCTTCACCATCTTTCTATGTGATCTAAAAAAAGGTACCTAATTAGAGATCCAAGCATACAAAAAAGCAAGAAAGTCTAGATAAAACAAAAGAGAAACAAGAGGGATGATGGAACATATGCAACAAAGGATCTGCTGACGCCACAGAGAACAAGGAATTTATGTTGCCACTGTAACAAGTTATCCTCTCTACTAGTTAAAATAGTGGGAATAAGGAACCTAGTCAAGTGGTTATTTGCATATATCAAAAAAGCATATTAATGATGGACTTTGACAAATTTGAAGTCAACGAATTAACATATTGAATCTTGCTTTCTGCAAGGCCAAAAGTTTTAAGCTCAGATTGTTAAAAGGAAACACCAAATTGATTTCTTTTCTCAAAAATCTCTCAATAAAGGAAGCAGTGCAATAAAGAAGTATGCAAGACAAAAGAAGGAAACATAGAGTAGTACTATATTGAACAGTCTAACGAGAAACTCTTTATAACACGCACAACAACTAGATCCACATAGAAAACATTTCCCGTTTTTTTTTTGTAGGAAAAAATTTTTGTTTAGTTTTATAATATTTAAATCACTCGAGTCCTAAAAGTACCACAAATTATATTAGCTATTAAGTATGCCGATTGCTTGGTTACTTTACAAAATAAACAAATAAATTATATAGACCTTTTTCTCTTTCTTAGACAAGAGTGAAACAAAAAATCTCAATTCAAGTCACGAATCCTGTCTCGCCCTCTGCATTCATATGAATCTTATGTAAGAAACGAGAACGATGCTAGATAAATGTCATGTAGTTTCAACTAAAACCAAGCATATTAACACTGGATGATCAATTCAACAAAAAAAGACACAATCTAAATAAAAACAACAGCAAACGCCTCAGCAGAATCTGGGGCATTTCATTTACTCGTTCCTTAAATATCATAAGTAAATCGACAGTATTCTTCATTTCTTTTAAGTATAAATATAAGATGAACAAAACAAATCCTAAGATCTAAAGTTCAGAGGAAGAGCTTGAATCCATTACCCTGCGAGGCCGAACAAAGAATTGAAAAGATAAAATAAAGCACACATATATAATTATAGGAATCGGAAGAAATAAAAATAAAAATTGGCGTTCGAATCAAGCTAGAAAGGAAGGATGAAAACAAAGATAGAAATAAAAACGCAAATAGCATATATTCTCCAAGGAATCAGATCAAAGTGTTCAACCCTAAATGACAAACAACGATCGAAGTATCAGCCAAGAAGAAAGAGCAGAAAAAAATTTTAGTCTTTTACCTCAGAACACCCCTGAGAGAGAGAGAGAGAGAGATTCGGCAGACGGCTCCTCTGCCACCGAACAGCTTAAATGCAACGACAGAGGGCCGTAGTGGCAACTTCCTAGGATAAATGCGACCAACGTGAAGAGTCGTCCTTCCTACCCGCCTACCTACCACTACCGGTCTGGTCTACCGCTCGTTCATTTTTCCCCACTTACCTTAAGGGCCCGTTTGGGAGGCTGAGCTGAAGAGTCAGCCAAAGATGCTAATTAGTAAATTAGCCGTGTTTGGCAAGTCTTTCCCAGCAGGCTTCGGGTTGTTTAAAAGCTCGGAAGCCTGAATTCTGGACTTTTCCCGTTTAGTAATAGAAAGATCTATTGGAAAAATGCTTCGGCCCATAAAAGATGCCAAAAACCCGAATTTGGACATTTCAAGAAACTTTAAATGAAACTTTTATAATCTTTTAATGCCCCCGTTTTCTTCGACGTGTGGTATGATGCACACGCTTGGGATAAAGTGGGTTATCTTTTCACAAAAAAAAACTATTTGAATGTGTAAGTGGGACCTACCAATGGTATGTGGGGCTCCACATACATGTCAACCAATGGTATGTCGGTCCCACATTGTAAAATGCATGTGGGCCCCACATACATGTCCAGCAATGGTATTTGGGGCCTATCTTGAAAAATGTATGTGGGCCCCGCATATGTGTCTACACACGGACCCCACATGCATGTCCACCAATGGTATGTGGGGCCCACCTTGTAAAATGTATGTGGGCCCCACATACATGTCTATACATGGATCCCACATGCATGCCACCAATGGTATGTGGGGCCCACCTTGAAAAATGTATGTGGGCCCCACATACATATCCACCAATGGTATGTCGGACCCACCTTGTAAAATGCATRTGGTCCCCACATACATGTCCACCAATGATACGTAGGATCCACCTTAGAAGATGTATGTGGGTCCTATGTGTTAAATGAAAGGTACATTGGTCCACACAGAAGACATTCATATACATATAGCACATATTTTTATCACGTTACCAAAGAGTCTTTTAGCTTTTATGGTCTTTCATGATATCTACCAAAAACATTTCAACTAAATAGTCTTTAGTCTTCCAAGATTTATTTGCAAAATCTTACCCTCTCTTTTAACTATCAGATCTTGTAACAGATATTCTGAAAAAGACTTGCCCAACATGCACTATATTTGTTTCAATCTCATCGAGCGAGCTTCCCTAGAATTTAGCTTTCATTTGTTTCTCTGATTTGTGGGGATATATTATCCCAGTCTTATATCAAAAGGGGCTACACAGAACGGGGGTAGTACATCCTAGAAATCAAAACAGTTAATTACACTTGAGGGTMTTTGGCACGAAAGAACTAGATACATCGTTTGAGTGAGCCAAGTTTACCGACCAATCCGACGCAATGTTGCCTTCTTTGTACGTGTGACGATACTCCACTTTGTCTTTGAATCTCTCGATCAACGATATGCAACCCTCTATAATTGACGACATTCTCCATGGGGGATCCACAAACTTATTCAGACAATCAATAACACGTTTGGAGTAACCATCAATAGTGATATTGGAAAATTTCAAGCTACATTATGGGCTTCCCACACAGCCCATACTTTAGCCACCTTGATAGTAGTTTCACCACTCGTTAGAATTAGCATTGATGTAGGAGACGTCGAAATTAATTTTAATTGATTCCATCACAACAGAACTAATCTACCAAATCGGGATAATGTTTTCCCTTCACAAACATTAAAATTATCTTCCATACACATCTATGCTTCCACAAAGGCATATCGAGCCCTCTCTATAATAATAGGAGGGGGGTTGTTCTTATTATTAAACACACTTTCATTTAAAATTTTCCATAACTACCACAATAAGAATCATAACAATTTCCCCTCTCATTACGGTAGACCACCAATCCAGAATTGAATTATTCGAATTTCTTGTAAATTGGAGAGACTCATGAKTGGTTAGCCAAACTTGCTTGGCTAGTGGACATTTTAAAAATATGTGATCATCCTCCTCTTCATCTCTGCATATGTCGCATGAACCATCTATGTTAAATCCTCTCGAAATTAACATCTTATTTGAAAAGAGTTTTTTGTTGCGAAGAAGATACATTAACATTTTAAGTTTAGGAGGGGTTTTCATACCCCGGATTTTATTAATTGTATTTGGGGTCCTCAACGGATTGCCATGCATTAAACCATCTTCATTGTATGCCGACTTAATTGAGAATTTTCCACTTAGATTGGGCCTCCAAATGAGTTTGTCCCCTGGAGGAATGAAAATAGATTTGATTTTTTCCCAAGATGAATGGGGAACTAGATTTTTAACTATATCTTCTTTTCAAATTTTCCTATCTTGATCAATGACATTGCTGACTTTGAGGTCAATATTAGATATTACCTCATTATCCACACACTTGTACAGAAGCTCTCCATTAGCCCATTTATGAAGCCAAAACCTTGTAGCTTTACCATTACCAATCAAAGATCCTAAACCCCTTCAAAGGTACTTTTGCTCCATTACTTGGACCCATAGGTTATCTTTTTCGTTTAAAGTTTTCCATCTAAGTTTTGTTAAACTAGCCTCATTAGCCCACCCAAGATTTCTTTAACCCCATACCACCCCAGTGTTTGGAGGTGCATACCTTATTGCAATTCACAAGATGAAGAGCCTTCCTATCCTTGTTATTTTTCCACAAGAACTCTCTTTGCTTATTGTTTAATTCCTCAAGGGCATTGTTTGGGATTTTGAAAGCCCTCATTCTATATTCTTTTTTTTGAGATTATAATTATAAAATAAATGTTATTAAACTAAAATATTCATTTTGTGTATTTATATATTAATTTATTTTTTGTTATTTTCTTATTTGTTAGGGTTTAATCAATTCAAACATTGCTAACTATTGTATTGAACCCTCAAAGACTTCAAAACCTGAACCAATAAGTACGGAATAACTTAAAACTTTGTGCAATCAATACTTCTTTCACCCTTTCTTTTCTCCTTTTCTTATAACAAAAATAGGGGTTCATCCCCTATATTTTTTAAATTTTCATTTCTTTCTATTTTTTTCTCATGAATATGTTGTTTTTTCTAAATTCTAACATGAACTTTATGCTTTTTTCATGAAAATTATGGATAATTATTAAAGAAATATGGTTATGGAACCTAGGGAACTATCCTAGTATATTTGTTTTTTACTTAAAAAAAAAATTATCGCCTTGATGATTAGGCGACAAGATGCCCCCTATCCCTTAGCCTTGCCTTGGCACTTTGAAAACTATGATCATGCCCATTTGAGAGGGCTTTTGCACAAGGCACACCCCTATCTTCTTTTAGAAGCTAGTTTTAGTTTTAGTGTCCATTTGAGAGGGCTGTCACACAATAGCATATGGCATTCCAATGAAAATATTTATAGTAGTTTCTCCTAAGTGGTTCAATCAATGTTGAAGCCTTCCTAAATGGTCCCTTAGTAGCTTCTTTTGTTCTTCAAAGCGGCTCAATCCATCAATGGAGCTCAATCAAAGTTGAAACACTCCAAAATGGGTTGGACTTAGGGGTATCAATGGATCGGTTTTGGGTTGGACCCCAAATAAATAAAACTTGACTTGGATGGATTGGATGAATCAATAAGACATATTCAATTGGACCAGTCCAAACTTAATGCTCCAAAGTATTTATTAGATTGGATTAGACTTGGGTCATATGTAATGAATTTATATTGGATTTGATGAGATTAACCCAATATCCAGTCTATTGATAGAAGATAATAATACAGGTGTTAATGGACTAGGTTTGGTTTGGAACCAATCTAAATTAAAACCAATTTTAACAGATTGGTTGGTCCATACATTGAATTGGACTGGTCCAAAATGGTCCAAAGTATTCATCAGATTGGATATAGGACCTGGTCCATGTGTAATGGACTCATATTGGACTTGATTAGATTGGACAAAATCCGGTCCAACTGACATMCTCAGCTGGACCAGCTGGACTCCAATTTTTTACAGCAAAGCATAACTTGTAGGCTGTCCATATGGGTCCACCTCGAAAAGCCAAAAGCCAATGCACTTCAATGCTTCCAAATGGGCACTAAGAATAATAAATGCTTATATATTCAGTAGGTATGCGTTGGAATTTGGGAGTTGGTAATTCCAAGTCCAGATTTCCTGCACCTTTCCCTACACTTCCTTTGGGTGTGTGTATTGAAATACCATGTAACTGTAAGACGAGGATAAGCCTCGAGAGGTATATTCCTTTGAAAAAGTGAACGGTACAAGAATACGAGACATAGGAAATGGGTACAACGTAAAAGATTTAGACCGGACCCTGGAGCAGGAACCAGGGGGGACCCAGGGGAGCCATGGCCCCCCCATGGTTCAGAAACTCCCCACTGAAAAATAGCTTTTCATCTAAATTTTCTTCTTTCCTCACTCTCTATTTCAATGGTTGACCCCCCCTATGGGTCCATCCATACTTCATTTATGTTTTGGCTCCCCTTATAACAACTTTCTGGCTCCGCCCCTGCCCTAGCGGCCTAGGCCCAATCAAAGATACAAGTCAAAATAGATACTGGACTACTGAAGACCAAGAAATTATGACTTCCTAATTGATCTTTCTCGAGCTAAATGGGGATATTGATCGAATTCAAAGGATGAACTGAGGCATGAGTTTAACATACAAGGGAGCTATTGATGATGTTTCTCTATTTACTAGATGAAGTGGATTGTGTTTTATGCGAGTTCATATCAGCTATCAATACATGGTGTCAATAATGTCCCAACCGGTCATTGCAGTTGTACATCGGGAACATCTCCCCATGAATGATAAGAGTGATATTCCCACAGTAAGCCTGCAATGGCTTAGTGGGACAAGATTGATAGCATTTTGTTGGTAACATATCCCTACCCATTTTCTGCAAGAAGAAAATGTGACAATGTTAAAACAAGTATGATTAAGGGCCAACTGAGTATCATGCTCTATATTAGAGGAAAGTAGACCACTTCAATAGGCTTGGGTTAATGTGGCTTTACCACTTAACCCGACCCACTGACATCCCTACCGTGAAGGGCAACTTAAAATGGTTAGACCCAAACAGTGATATTTAACATATCCCACACATTTTCTTCCAAGGAAGAAACAACACTAATATTTGAAACTAGTGTAAGGGCACATGGTATGCATAATGTGCAAATAAGAATGAAAAAGAGAGAGATGTTAACATTTTTTATGCAAATTTTTAAATAACTTTCATGACCTACATGAAAATTAAGGCAAGTATCCACGTTATGGATTTATTTGCTTTTGTAAGTTGTAAGTGCATCTACCCATGTTCTTTTATTTTCCAGGCAAATAAAACAATGATCGTTTTAGCCATGGTAAGCCATTATTAAAAGGGGCAATTCTGTCTCATCGCAACTTTCCCCTCCCCCCCCCCCTTTGGGTGGAAAAGTTATTTACCCACCTAGGAAATGGGTATCACTTACTCGACAGGTAAAATAAATTTTCCGTAAAACCCACATAAATCATAAAAAAGAGTATGGATATCTTGATCAATGGCTAGCATAAAGGAACATGCTATGCACTTCTAAATAAAGATAAGATAAACCTTATAGATATATAATATTTATTTAACTTTCATGATTTACACTAAAACCAAGGCATATATATTTGTTTTATATAGAATAGATACATAAATGTAGATGCTCTCAAAAGTGAAAAACACATCATAAAGTAAGACATGCCATGCTAACTCGACCCTGATTTTGCAATTTGATAAATATAATTGATCATCTACAAGCATGGTTCTTAGAAGCTGGGCTTTATAAGAATGACTTTATGTCATTAGCTATTTTCTGAGCATCAAAACCACATCCATATAATCCCTTTTTTGCCAGTCCAGCACAATACAAACCCTTTTTTCCCTTCCAATAATTAGGATTTTTGCTTCCATCCGCAAACCCATCTTCGTTGAGTAGGTGGTCTTCATCCTGAACAATATTAGAATAAACACGAGGGATCCACATATAACTATATAAGTATATAAAATGCTCTCTCTTTCTAAAAAAAATTGGACATTGATATTAGGGTCCATTTGTTTGTGATGAAGGAAAATTTGGCTCGACCTCGTAATCACCCAACACGTGGCAAATGCGAACTGTACAACAGCGTGATCGAGGCGCGAGCTTCGAAAGGAGGAACCAGCGGTCCGAACTCCCTGCAAGGAGCCCGAATTCCCCGCAAGGAGCCCGAGCCTTACAAACACAAAGGGAAACAACCTAAACTGGCATGTCCCATGGCAGTTCGGGATACATCTCTATCCGAACTCAAGACCACCTCGCTCACCACTCCAGCACTTCGCCCCCAGGACGCTGAACTGAACAACCGTACCATGCCTGACACCGAGGAAGTCCGTGTCTAGGGGCGGCGCACCTGACTGACTTAGGATCTAACGCTTGACAGCCACACTTTAACGGCCACCTGCCACCGCCACCTGCCACTGCCATCTCCAGTTGTAGAGACGGCTCCGACAAAGAGAGCAGTGGCGGTTCTGCCCCA